TTTTTTTTCTTTTTTTGGTCACTTGTGGGGCTAGAACTCTGGGCCTGGGCACTGTCCCTCAGCTCTTCAGCTCAAGGCAAGCACTCTACCACTTGAACCACAGTGCCACTTCTGGTTTTCTGGGGGTTAATTGGAGAAGAGTGTCATGGACAATTCTGCTCTGGCTGGCTTGGAACTGTGATCCTCAGATCTCAGCCTCCTGAGTAGCTAGGATTACAGGATTGAGCCACTGGGGCCTGACTTGCAGTATTCTTTTTTTTTTTTCAGTCTTCGGGCTTGAACTCTGGGCCTAGGCAATGTCCCTGAGCTCTTCAGCTCAAGGCAAGCGCTCTACCACTTGAGCTACAGAGCCACTTCCAGTTTTCTAGTGGTTTATTGGAGATAAGAGTCTCATGGACTTTCCTGCCCAGGCAGGCTTTGAACCACAGTCCTCAGATCTCAGCATCCTGAGTAGCTAGCTGTGGCATGAGCCACAAGCCCCGGGCTGGCTTGGAGTATTCTTAATGATAGCTAGATAGCTTCCAAGGAATGGATCTTCTGGGCATCTGTGGCTGTAACTATTGGGGAACAGAGCATATGAGGGAGCAGCCTGTCTTGGACATCTTCTATGCTTGGATAACTGTGGTGCAGCAAAGCACAATGGCACTCTTGTCTTGTTCAGCCCTCAGAGCTCTTGGTCATGTTCTTTCTCCACCAAAGAGGACACTGAGTCTACTCAGCAGGCCTGACACTGTGGTCCTCCCTACTAGACACTGCTGCTACAGTACAGAACCAGAAGGAAGCAAGGCCTGGCCCACTGGGAGTGACCAGTAAATACATGTCACACGGGGTATCTACAGGTTTATAACATCATCCATCAGCCAAAAGTAGGGAGAGGAGAGAATAATCAGACTGCCCTGTGTGATTTCATGAGTATCCAGGAAGACCCTTAACAGCAATGAAATGCGGGAGCCACAGTCTTGGTCACTTGCATGTGCTCCTACAAGTCTAGCCTGAGACAGAGCATGGCCTGGAAACAGGACTTGAATGTCTCTGCTGAGAGCTGAATTGAGCATCCCATTCCAATTCTCCTTCCGTTATCCATACCCTTTCTATTGACGCTTTATTGTTCTTACTTTGGAAAATGTGGTTGGTAGCAGTAGATAGTTTCTTAAAGAAGAGTTATTTCCAAAGTGACATCAACTCTGGGGTTAGTGCTCCTCCCTTGAGGAGACAGCGGGCCTGTCACAACCCAGGCTCAGGAAACCACTGAGGAAGCAGCTGACCAGGATGTCAGCCTCAGAGGACTAGAGCTTAAAGACACTTCAGTCGTGGCTGGGAAGGTGGCTCACTGGTAGAGCGCTTGCCTTGCATGCCTGAGGCCCTGGTTCCATTCCTCAGCACAACATAAGCAAAAAATTAATAAATAAAAAAAGCCAGAAGTGGCGCTGTGGCTCAAGTGGTAGAGCGCTCTCCTTGATCTGAAGAGCTGGGGGACAGCGCCCAGCCCCAGAGTTCAGGCCCAATGACCGGACCCAAAAAAAAAAAAAGATGACACTTCAGTCAGTTAGACAGGGGCCCCAAAGGCTCCCACACCCACACCCGCAGTTCCCACTCATTACTTAGAATCTATTAAGCTGATGCTTTCCTGACCCAAAACAAATTAAAATACATTTTGATACACACTCTTCTGAAAGCAGTCTTGTGCTGTGGACATATGATGGTGACAAATGCAAGGGCTTTCTGTGGAGTGACTGTCCCTTCAGCCTGTCGGTCAGCTCTGAGCCTCAGTAGTGTCCCAGGAGGATGAGCTGGAAGGTGTGGTCTGCAGAACAGTGTCCCCAAAGATGCCCATATCCTACTCCCAAGAACCTATTAATAGGATCCTTTGAATACATAACAGTTCAGGACCTTAAGATGAGGAGATCACCCTGAACTATCTGGGTGTCCCATTCTTAAGGCAGTCTTCTGAGGGAGAGGGAGGAGGACCAGAGTCAGAGACAGGCTGAAGGATGCTGCACTGCCAGCTCAATGTGGTGGGAAGTGTGTGCACTGGAGAGGGGTCGCTCTCATATCCCTCGGGAAAGGGGGACGCTGAGGCAGTGCTATCCACAGCAAAGCTGGCTATGTGCCAGCCTACAGGGTCAGGAACCAACTCCTCTCACATTTCACATTAGCATTTCATTCATTATTCTTCATTCTTCCTTTTTACCTTTTTTCATGAGAGAGAATACATACTAGAACTCTTTTTCCCAAATACAAAGTCACACTTTAATATTTAAGATATAATAGGGAGTGATTGTACTGAATT